GCTGCTGCTGCTGCTGCTGCTGCTGCTGCTGCTGTTGCTGCGGTAGCTGAAACTGCTGCGGAGCTGGCTGATGCATTATCTTTGGTATTTGCTGTTGCTGGAGCTGCTGGTGGTGCTGCAGCTGGTGCTGCTGCTGCATTTGTTGCTGCTGCTGCATTTGCTGCTGAGGTTGCTGCTGCGGTATTTGCATCTGCTGCTGCTGCAGCTGCTGCTTCTGCTGCGGTTGCTGTTGCTGCTGCATGACCTGTGGCTGGGTCTGCTGTTGTTGCGTCTGCGGTTGCTGCTGCTGCTGCTGTTGCACTTGCTGCTGCGGTTGCACTTGCTGCTGCGGTTGCAGTTGCTGCTGCTGCTGCTGCTGCTGCTGCTTATCCTCTTGTTTTTGAGTTTCCTGTGTCGCATGCGTCGCTCTTGCTGCAGCGTTTGCTGCTCCTGTCCCTGCAGCAGCAACTGGCAGCAAAAGAAAATCTATCTCTCGTGCTGCGTCTTTCACTTGTTGCTGCATCACATCTACGCTGTTATATAAATAAACCCAAAAAAACAAAAAACAAACCAAGCAGCATCTCCACCCACATATGCCGAAGCAGCAGCGAAGGCAAAACACTACAGCTGCAGCTCCAGCAGTTGCTGCTACTGCTGCTGCTACTGCTGCTGCTACTGCTGCTGCTGCTGTTGCTGCAGATACTAAGTATCGGTTTAGAGCATAGTACTCAGTACATACCGCCTGAAGGAAGAGAAGCCGGTGCAGCAGCAGCTGCTGCAGCAGAGTTGCCAGCAGCCGTCGTCCCGAAGCCAGAAGCCGCAGCAGCAGCAGCTGCTGCTGCTGCTGCTGCAGCACTGCCAGCCGGCCCGGCTGCTGCTCGGTGCATCATGTGGCGGTCTGCTGCATGTGACAAGTAAGAGAGGATCTGCGCGGAGTTCTTGCTGCCTACAGCAGCAGCAAGTTGCTGCAGATCTGAAGCAGCAGCAGCAGCAGCAGCAGCAGCAGCAGCAGCAACAACTACAACCGAACAAAATATCGTTCCCGCTGCTGCAGCAAGCGATACGAATCACGGGCAGCTAAGAAGCAAGAGGGTAGGAGCAGCAGCCCGCTGGCCTTAAGGCGTTCAGAAACGAATCTGACTTGCTGCTGCTGCTGCTGCTGCTGCTGCTGCTGCTGCTGCTGCTGCTGTTGCTGCTGCAGCTGCACCTCACCTTGCCCCGGCGTACGCAGCGCGTGGTGGAGGCGCTGCAGCTCCTCGTGGCTCCAGAAATCCCGGTTGCCATAGAAGGCCTGCTGCTGCTCCTCCATTGACCCTTCACTCAAGCCCCCGCGCTGTACGCACAGTGCACACGCATGCAGACATGCGGGGATGCAGCTGCAGCTGCACTTGCTACAAATGCATGCATGCATGCATGCATGCATGCATGCATGCGTGCGCCAGCGAGCACACACTACAGGCGTTGTGCCCCCAACCTAAACAAAGACTCAAAGCCATACTCCCCAATAAGACTCCAAGTGCATGCATGCATGCATGCATGCATGCATGCATGCAGAAGACGAAATATGCATGCGAGCATGCATTCGCGACCCAAGCCCGGACAACAGGTTGGGAAAAGTAAACCGCATGCAGCAGCAGCGACAAGTAACAACTCCTCCAGCAGCAACAGTAGAAGCAACAACAACACCAACAGCAGCAGCAGCAGCAGCAGCAGCAGCAGCAGCAGCAGCAGCAGCAGCAGACTAACGTGCTGGTCCGCCAGCATGGCGAGGAAGAGTAGGTTTTGCTGCAGGCGCTCGAAGTAGCAGAGAGCATCTCCATAGCGGCCGACCTGCAACAGAGAAGGGATACCGCCAGCAGCAGCAGCAGCAGCAGCAGCAGCAGCTGCAGCATCAAGAACTGCATGCATGCATACTACAACAACCCCACCCACATACGGTGGCTGCAGCAGAGCCACAAGTACGCATGCATGCACAACAACAACCCCACCCACATACAGTTGCTGCAGCAGAGCCAGAAGTACGCACGCATGCATAACAACAACCCCACCCACATACAGTTGCTGCAGCAGAGCCAGAAGTACGCATGCATGCATAACAACAACCCCACCCACATACTGTTGCTGCAGCAGAGCGACAAGTACGCATGCATGCACAACAACAACCCCACCCACATACTGTTGCTGCAGCAGAGCCACAAGTACGCATGCATGCATAACAACAACCCCACCCACATACAGCTGCTGCAGCAGAGCCACAAGTACGCATGCATGCACAACAACAACCCCACCCACATACAGTTGCTGCAGCAGAGCCACAAGTACGCATGCATGCATAACAACAACCCCACCCACATGCTGTTGCTGCAGCAGAGCCACAAGTACGCATGCATGCATAACAACAACCCCACCCACATACTGTTGCTGCAGNGTTGCTGCAGCAGAGCCAGAAGTACGCATGCATGCATAACAACAACCCCACCCACATACTGTTGCTGCAGCAGATACCCACTTTCAGGTTTTCATGAATTGCAAACAGCATTTGTTCGTTTTCTCGGAGTTTGCTTTCTATTAGGCGCCCCACAGCAGCAACAGAAACGCACAAACTCGCTGTCTCGGCCTGCTGCTTCGCTGCTGCTGCCTGCTGCTGCTGCGCTGCTGCCTGCTGCTGCTGCGCTGCTGTCTGCTGCGACTGAGCTGCTGATACCGTACACGCGGGAGGCACGTACGCGTATGGCGGCTCGCACTGCAGCTCAGGGGGATCCCGCCCTTGCCAGCTCATAGGTGTCTGCTGCGGCAGCTGTTGCTGCTGCTGCTGTAGCTGCTGCTGTTGCTGCTGCGGCAAATGGATACTGCTCGCCGCTGCAGCGGGAGGGGGCTGCGCAGGGGGCTGCTGCTGCAGTAAGGGCGCAGAGGTATTCACTGCTGCAGAGGGGTTTGGTAGAGAAGAAAGGGCCGTTGCTGCTGGTGATGGTGGTGGTGCTGCTGCTGCTGCTGGTGCTGGTGCTGCTGCAGCCGGACCTGGAGCCGCAGCTTTCTCTGCTGCTGCAGGCAATTTTGACGAAGCCGTTTCACTTCTTGCAGCAGCAGCGAGAGGTGCAGCTGCAGCAGGATCAGCTGCGGCAGGTGCAGCCCCTGATCCTGCAGCAGCTGCTGCATGGGCTACGTTGAGACCCGCTGCATTGCCCGGCTGTTGCTGTTGCTGTTGCTGCTGCTGCTGTTGCTGCAAGTGCTGCGCTTGCTGCTCCTGCTGCTGCTGCTGCTGCTGCTGCTGGGCCTTCTTTCCTGGTGCCTCCTCCTCCAAGCCAACCCCACCAACAAGAGCGTTGAAAAACGCGTCGATATCTTCGGGGGTAGTCATCAGTGGGGAGTGTTTGCAGCTGTTGTGTGTGTCCGTGTTGCTGCTTCTACCGCGCTTGTTGCTGTTGCTCCCCCTGCCACTGTCGTTGCTGCTGCAGGGGCTGCTGCTGCAGGGGCTGCTGCTGCAGGGGCTGCTGCTGCAAGGGCTGCTGCTGCAAGGGCTGCTGCTGCAGGGGCTGCTGCTGCAAGGGCTGCTGCTGCAGGGGCTGCTGCTGCAGAGGCTGCTGCTGCAGGGGCTGCTGTAGTTGATCGCGTGTTATGACAGCCGCAGCGCAGCTGCTACAGCGGCTGCTGCTGCTGTTGCTTCATCGGCTGCTGCAAACTATGCTGGAGAGGGTGCTGCTGATGCTTCGCGTGATGCTTGTAGTTCCCTTTCCTGCTGCTTCTACTGCTGCTGTTGCTGCGGCTTGTGCTGCTGCTGCAGCTGCTGGTGGCACCCTGAGGCTTGCCGGCTCTTCTTTGGCGGCTGTCGCTGCGATCTGCTTCCCTGTTGTAGCTGCAGCTCCTGTTTGCACGGTTGCTTGCGCTGCTGCTTCTAGCGGTGCTGCTGTTGCTAAGTATGCTGCTGCTGTTGCTCGCGAGGGTACCTGTGCTGCAGCTGCTGCTTTGGTTGCTAGTTCAGCGGCAGCAGCAGCTGGTGCTTCTGCTGTAGCTGCTGCTGTTGTAGCTGTTGCTTCGACCTGCTGCTTTGCTGCTGCAGCAGTAAACACCAAAGAGAAGGCTGCTCTTGCGTCTTTTCCCTTTGCTGCTGTTGCTGCGGGCTGAAAGCCGAGCAGCAGAAACGGCTGTTGCGATGAGGCGATGAAGCACAGCATCTATAGTTCATCCTCCATTGATCACTGTGCATCGTTTGTTGTTCATTGTTTAGGGTTTAGGGTTTAGGGTTTAGGGTTTAGGGTTTAGGGTTCGCTGCCCATGCAGCATATCGGGGCTGGGGCCCCCAAACAGGGGCTGGGGGAATCCTACTCCTTCGTTAAGTTCGTCTACACCAAAAAGACATTTTTAATAAATAATTTTCGTCGAATTTCTAGTTCTGTTTCAGCCTCAAGGGGGAAGAACACGCAGCTGCAATAGGCAGCAACAACAACCCCACCACAACAACAACCCTCTAGGGCCTGGAGCAGTAGCAGCTGCAGCAGCAGCAGCAGCAGCAGCATCGCACTTTCCCCTTGAATACTTCATCCCTGCAGTATTTCTACTGCAACCATCAAGCAGCACCAACGCCAGAGCCCCCAAGACCCTCACAGTATACCCCACACTGGAGCCCTGGGTTGTGGTTGCCGGCGCATACAAATCCCGGCAGCAGCAGCAGCGGTAGCAGCAGCAGCAGCAGCAATAGCGTTGAGAGCCTTGCTCCGCCCGCCGACGTCAGCATTTGTCTGGTTGGGTCCCCGGCGCCGCAGGACAGAGGGGGCCTGGGGGGTCCGGGCGCAGCATCGACTGCCGCTGCAGCAGCAGCAGCCGCAGCAGCAGCAACTGAAATGCCTGTTATACCGTGGGCTGTGTTTGGGGAGGGCTCTCGCAAGCAGACGGAAGATGTACAGACCAGCTGCTTCTGTGTTTCTCCCCCTAAGGGGCCCCCCTCTCCTCTCCTGGCGGCACCAGGGGCCCAGCATGCAGCTTCTAGAGAGTTTCGCCATAGACAACAAAAGCAGCAGAAGCAGCAGAAGCAGCAGAAGCAGCAGAAGCAGCGGCTCATCAGTGAGCTGCTGGAGGAGGCTCTAGAGGAATACAGCGAAGACGAAGATGATGCCGCGGCAATCAACAGCAGCAGCAGCAGCAGCAGCAGCAGCAGGGCAACGCCATTACCAGTGGTTGTGCCTGCTGTCTTTGGGAGATACCCCTACGATGGAGTTGCTGCTTCTGCTGCTGAGGTCCCCTCTATTCTGTTGCGCTGCAAGCGAGCAGAGGAGCAGCAAGAGACGCTGCTGCTGGCAGCAGCAGCAGCAGTATCTGCAGCAATGCAGGAGCAGCTGCAGAGCATCTGCCGAATCGTCCGAACCCACGCAACTGTGGGGGCTTTCGAGCGGCTGCAGCCCGAGGCTGCTTGTGCTGCCTCTACTCCTAACAGCAGCAGCAGCAGCAGCAGCAGCAGCAGCAGCACTAGGAGGGGAAGAAGCAGCCTTTGTGAGTTCCTTCCCGTTGTCATTATGCATGTGGGAGCAGATGTTGAGGACCACCGGTTGGCGGTGCGGATGCTGCAGCTGCAGCTGCAGCAGCAGTCGAAGTGCTGCTGCGGGGGCAGACATAGCAGCCGCGTCAGCAGCAACAGCAGCAGCAACCGCGATGATGAACTGTTTTTGAGGCAAGTTGTGTTGAGAGCAATGAGCTGCACCAACGCTCAGGCGGCGTTGCGTGCGGTGTACGCACAGCTCAAGGCGAGCAGCTGCTGCAGCACGTGCATCGGCCGCAACAGCAGCAGCAGCAATAGTGGCAGCAGTGGCAGCAGATCAGAGGAAGCCGGAGGGGATGCAGCGGCAGTCCCCGAGGAGGTTGCTGCTGACGCAGCTGCTTCTGCAGCATGGGGCGAATTCGAGGGTTTGTGGGCGCAGCAGCAGCAGCAGCTGCTGCTGCGGTGTCTCGAGGGAGCGGCAGAAGATAGTAGCAGCAGCAGCAGCAGTGCACAAGGCCCCATACCTGCACCTGTAGCAGACGAGGATGATGGGAGTTACTGGGGCCCAGACCAAAGCAGCAGACTGGGGCAGCTCTGGCGCAAGCTGCTGCAGCAGCACAACAGAGGCTTCTGCTGCAGGTGGCGCAGCAAGGGGGAGGGATGCTCGGTGCGCACCCGCTCTCAGCGGCAGGCAGCAGCAGGAAGCAGCAGCAGCAGCAGCAGCGAGAGCTCCTCGGCTGAGAGTGGCGACGACAGCAACCGTAGCCCCGGNGAAGCAGCAGCAGCAGCAGCAGCGAGAGCTCCTCGGCTGAGAGTGGCGACGACAGCAACCGTAGCCCCGGGCAGAAGTCTAGCAGCAGGAGCCCTCTTCGCCGCCGCCGCCGCCGCAGCAGCAGCAGCAGCGACAGCAGCAGCAGCAGGAGCATCTTGGTGATTGTGCTGGAGGAGTTGGAGGCATTTTCTCCGCGAGTTCTTTCGCAGTTGCTGCTGCTGCTGTCGCTGCTGCGGTCTGAGCATGGGGTCCCCGTGATGGTGCTAGCATCTGCTGCAGCGTCTGCTGTTGCTGTGCAGCAGCTGCTGGAGCCTGAAGCGTTGAGGCTGCTGCAGCTCGATGCAGCAGTGCTGCTGCGTCCGTCTGCTGTACACGATGCGCTGCTGCAGCTGCTGCTGTGCTGCCCCGCAAGCAGCCTCTTTGTGTTGCCTGCAGCAGCTATAGAAGAGCTTCAGGAGTTGCTGCTGGACCAGGGCGCCTCCGTGCTGCAGCTGCTGCGCATCTCGCGGATGCTGCTCTACAAATTCTTCGCTGATCACCCCTTCTCTTACCTTGCCCTGGATGCACGCGCTGTGGCTGCTACAGGCAGCGACAGCAAGGACGGGAGCAGCAGCAGCAACAGCAGCAGCAACAACAGCAGCAGCAGCAGCAGCAAAGATCATGCCGCCGCTGCTACTGGTGCAGCAAATGCAGCAGGTGTTGCTGCTGCTGCTGCTGCATCTAACTCTAAGGCAGACCTTGAGGTGGTCGAGAGAAGGCTGGCACTGTTGGCTGCTGCTGTCCTGACACCGCAGCAGGAGGAGGTGCTGCTGCAGCAGATGGCGAAGTTTCGGCTGCTGCATGCGCAGTTGCGCGCAACAGCCGCAGCAAAGCTCGAATCTCCTTGCTGCAGAGCATGGAAAGTGCAGCGCCAGCAGCAGCAGCAGCAGCAGCAGCAGCAACAACAGCAACAACAGATGCCGCAGCAGGAGGGATGCAGCAAGACCCCATGCGCACCCATAAGAAGGGCTCTCTCGATGCTCCAGCATTGGTGGGATTGTTCGGGTTTATCTGCAGCAGCAGACGAGCAGCAGCAGCTAAGCCGGCGCCGTGCTGCACTGCAGCAGGAGGTGCNGGTTTATCTGCAGCAGCAGACGAGCAGCAGCAGCTAAGCCGGCGCCGTGCTGCACTGCAGCAGGAGGTGCTTCCTGCTGCTGCTGTGCAGGTGCTAGAGCGTCGCATAGCAGCAGGATTGGGTATGCGGCTGCTGGTGGTGCTGCAGCAGCACGTGTTGCTGCAGCGGCAAGCGTTCGCACTCAGTGCCTCGGAGTCTGCCGCTGCTCTTAACAGCCAAGACAGCAGCAGCAGCACTCTTCGTGCAGTGGAGATGCTGCTAGAGATACTGGGGGGCACCAGCAGGACCACTGGTTACCATGACTATCTTCTACAGGGAAAACCGCTAACTTCTGCTGCTGCTGCAGCTCAGATCGTCAGTCCCAGTACGTCTTGCATGCAGCAGCAGGCAAACAACCCCGCAGCCGCATAATGTTCATGTTGCGTTGGGTTGGGGGTGTTGTTTGAAGTTGTTTGGTGCAGTTGCTTCTGCTGCAGCTGCTGATGTGTTGCTGCTGCTGCTGTGTTGCTGCTGCTGCTGTGTTGCTGCAGTCTGCGAGGAGCTGCAACGGATTGCGGGGGCGTGCTGCCGCGTGAGCAGCTTGGTGACCACTTTGGTAGCAGAAGCTCTTAATGCTGCAGCAACGACGCGCCAGGTTGCTGCAGTGCCGCAGGCGCTGCTGCTCGCGCTGCAGCAGTTCAGCCGGCAAACCGGGAGAGAGTGGGCCTTGCTGCTGCAGCTCGAGGGCCGCATGCAGCAGCAACAGCAGCAACAGAAAAAGCCACAGCAGCAGCAGCAACGGACAACGGAGATGGGTAAAGCTTCTGAGCTTTTCAAGGCGATGAATCAACTCATGGAGCGGCTGCAGCATACCTGTCAGCAGCAACAGCAGCAGCAGCAACAGCGAGGACAGCAGCAGGTTGTTCCCGCGTTTGTTTCTGGGCTTGCACGGCGCGCCAGCGCAGCGCCTTTGCCTTTCTCTGGGGGCTTTGGCAGCAGCACCAGCAGCAGCGCTGACAGCGCCTTTTGTAACCANCTAGGATGTGAGCTGGGTGTGTGGTCCTTGTCTGTTGCTGCAGCAGAGCAGCCGCAGTACTTCGCTGCTGCGCTAGCAGCCCCCAAGGCCCCTACACACCGCGCAGAAGCAGCAGCAGCAGACACCCTGGCCCGGCTGCTGCCGCTGCGACCTGTGGAAGTGCTACAGGAGCTGGCATGCCTCAGCGGTAGTGCCCTGGAGTATCACCAGCAAACGGCAGCAGCAGCAGCAGCAGCCATGGGACGAGCAGACACCGTTGCTGCAGTTACTGCTGATGATACGAGCCTTGTCTACCGCCGCGTTGCCTTCGGCAGCCGCCGCATTCCCCTCTGGTATTTGTTTTGTCACTTCTGCTCCGACGTGGTTGAGACGTATACACAGCAGCAGCTACGTGCTCGGACGCAGCAGCAGAAGCAGCAGCAGAAGCAGCAGCAGGCACTCGCCGTCCCCCATAGACCAGCAAAGCTCCAGAAGAAGGCCGGAGCAGCAACCGAAGAGACAATGAAAGACGACACAGGCGGGAAGGAGACAACGGGCAAGAGGGAGACAGCAGAAAGAGAGGGTCTGCGTGCGCTGCAGCGGGAGGCTGAAACTTCTCTCCCGAGTGGGAGCTGCCACAACGCCTCGCTGTTGCAGCACCTCTTCCTGCGGTTTGGTGTTGCTGTCTGTACACTCGAACACTTGGGCCTTGTTCGGCTGCCGGGGTGCGGTGTCTCTACAGAGGAGCTGCTGCTACGCAGTGCAGCAGATGCGGAGACATTAGCAGAGGAACTCGCAACGCAGGGGGAGCAAGCAGAGTTACAGACAGAATCCGATGATGAAGGCCCAGGGGAAGGAGCCAATGAGCAGCAGCAGCAACAACAAAGTGGCAGGAAACGAAATCCACGACAGCCAAATGCCGCCGCCGCTGCCTCAGAGGCGCTGCAGCTGCAGCAGCAGCTACAAGGCTTATACCTAACGCGCTGCTTCTTTGGCAGTGTCTACCTCCCCGAACAATATGGAGATGATGATTCAAACCGCCAGCACGACGACACCAATGCCGCCGACGATCGGCAGCAACAGCAACAGCAGCAGCAGGAACCGCGGCAGCAACAGCAGCGCCAGCCACAAAAGCAGCCACGGCAACGGCGGCTCAAGCAGTAGAAACCTTAGCG